TCAGTTGGAAATTCAGATGTGTAGCTAACTGTGGACCCTGGGCATAGGATTTAACTATTTTGATGCTTGTTGCCTCATCTGCAAGCTGAGAGAGTAATTCCTACTCCCCATGTTCTGCTGGTGCTTCCCACTGGCCAACCCAGAAGCCAGAGGGCCAGAGGGCCTGGTTGACACAGTGCACTGAGGTCATCCTCTTGGGGCAAAGACCTGGTGGAGCCAGGTGGGGAGGGGTCTGCAGCTCTGCACAAGCCACCTTCACAGTAGCACATGTATAATCCCCTAAATTCCCTTAGAAATTGTTTTTAAGTCAATATTATGTGGGAAATGATGAAGAAATGATTCTAAATAAAAATTTTAAATAAATATTAATGGATATTGTACTATAAAATTTATTACATACAATCTTTTATAATATCATACATAAAGGCAAGTTTATCCTTTTCCTTTTAAACAAAGATGGCACACACTGTTTCTGTTATCACATTAAATTATTCAAGAAAAAAAACATGCTCTAACAAATAGATTTTCAAGTGACAGAGTATGTCATCTTTGGTTTGGGTAATGATGTATATTAAAACTTAGATTAAAATTTATCATCATCTTACAGCTTTAAAATAGACAAAAAAGCCACTTTCATGACCTGAAATCTGGTATGGTTGCACTTTGAGTTAAAATTTAACTGGTTTATCATCTAATACTTACCCTTCATTTCTAAATGATGAGCTAAAAGAGAAAGTTTTAGGCTAATTTTGCAAGGACTTCTCTGCAGATTACACATGGTAGTTAGGGATGATCTTTAACTCCCATAAATGACAAACCAAATGGATATAATTAGAAATAATAGCTTCCTCCCATTTTAACATTGGTTTCTGGTTATGAGAATATCTTTATATGTCATATAATAGTTTTGATCAATTGTATGCAATTTATGGATCTGTGTGAATATCAGCAAGGTAAATTCATTGATTTCCTTCTTGCCATCTTTATGCTCTGCATTAACATGAATACCATCAGTTTTCCTTATGTTTCCATCTTTATTTAAAAGTTGGTGTGGGTAACAAAATAAAACAAACCAATATTTAAGAATGAAAATGAAAACAATGTAAAATGGCCAAAACCACTAGTTGATAAATGATTGGAGAACTAACCATGAGCATGTGTCTCTAATCACCATCTGATGTGTACTTGGAAGCTTTCATGCTGCTCATTAATAAACAGAAACTGTCTAAATAATCATTTTATATATTGCTTTTTTTACAAATAGTAATTGGAACACTTGCCATCACCGCCTTTTCTGATGTGAATGTGCTTCTGGGGATTGTAGGGTTTTATAAATCACTCAGTAGAGAATTCCGTTTTAGATGATCCTTAGGGTTCCTTTCAGTTGTTTATTAAAGTAGAAAATAAATCATAACACTTTGTAAACTGGGAGTCTCAGGTCTGCGTTATCATCTACCCTGTTACCTAAGAGATACATGTCATGGGTAAAGCATAGGCTTGAAATCAGGCAGTCCAGACTCTTCTATTGTTAGCTGTGTGACTTTGCACAAGTTACTCAACCTCTCTGAGCTGTGCTCATTTTCTGCCTAAAAGAGGGATAAGCCTAGAAACCACCTTATGGGGTTATTGCAAGGGGTTAGTTATTCATTAAACAAATGCTTATTAAGCCACTGCTGTGTGCCAGGCATATTCTAGACACTAAGGAAACAATAGTGAATAGGACAAAGAAAGTATCTGCTCTCATGAAGCTTACATTCTAGTGGTGGAGATGGACAAAAGCTCCAGCAAATTTAGAAAACATTGTTAGGTAATGATAAGTATTACAAAGAAAAATGAAGCAAGGTGAGAGGTTAAGTGACATTTGGGATGGGGTGATCACAGAAGGCCTTTCTGAGCAGGCTGTTTTAGAGAAGAGACAGAAGAAGTGAGTGTGAGGTCTGAGGAAGGGGTGTTCAGGCAGAGGGCACAGCCAGCAGAGGCCCTGAGGTGGGAGCACACGTGGTGTGTTTGAGGAACAGTAAGGTGCCAATGAGCTGGAGCAAGTCCAAAAAGAGGGACAGCAGGAGAACATGAAATTGGATTTTTGACAGTGCAGCGCTCCAAGGTCTAAACCCCCAGAGCACAGCCTTTGAATTAGAAGCTCTCTCTACTCTTCCCGCCTAAGGATGCACACATTTCCTCCTCACCTAGATAATGCCTTTTAAAGGGATGGTGGTGGGGAGACCCTTGAGCTGGGAGAGACTATTTTGACAAAGAATTTGAACCTTAACTTGATTGAATACGTAACCCATGTTGGCCCCATCTCATGGTTTCACCAAGGAGAGGTCTTTGCTGGCTTGCTTGGCTTTTTTTGTAGCTGGGAAATTCCAGGATGTCTTCCAGAGAACCAACTGTTGTGAACTTTAATTAAAGGCTCAGAACTTTCTCTTCAGGCACAAGCCCATAATGCTGCTAAGGACAATCAATCTGTTTGCCTTTAATCCACCTCCTAAGGGGCCAGGAAAGCCTGATGGCTTTGTGTGAAACCAGGAAGGAAGGTGCTGTGTCTGCCATCCTGTCAGGCTGATGTGGGCTTGGCAGGAGTTGAGAGCAGAAGTCTCCTTCTCCAGGGGACAGGGCTGGGTACCCTGGAACACGCCCTGCTGGCATGTCTGCTCCATGTCTTGCTCGGCTTCTGATCTGATTGCTTGGGAATGGTGCAGCATCATTTGGCCGCCATCACTGCCTTGGGCTGACCTGCCAAATGCCTACCTTGCATTTCAGAGCTGGCCGCCTTATTCTGGAAGCCTTGTCTTTTGTGAGCCTGACCTTTGTGCTTCATTTAAGTGAAAACTCCCCGTTAAGTCTGCTGACAGACTGGGCTTGAAAGATATGTATGCCTGACATGGATTAAATGCTGTCTGGATTGAAGGCAAGAGAATGGATAAGATGATCTCCAGGGAATCTGTTGGCTTGCTGGTTATAGGACATGTGGTGTCTTTTTAAAACCATTTTAAAATCAAAGTATAGTACACATACAGAAAAGTGTATATACAATAAATACGCAGCTTGCTGAATTTTTCAAACTAAACACAGCCCTGCAACCAGTACCCAGATCAAGGAAAGTCATTGTTAGCACCTCATGCATGTTGTCTGTCTTTTGCATTAAATTCTTCCTTAACCTATTAATTACAATTATTTTAAAATCTCTGATAATTCTGTCATCTAGATCAATTTGGGTTTTGTTGATTTCCCTATTTCTTGACAATAGGTTTATTTTTGTGTGTGTGTCTCAAGATTTTTTTATTGAATTCTGGACATTGTTTATGAAAGTACCGCAGAAACTTAGGTAAATGGTACTTACCCCTGGAAATGTGCTTATGGCTGTTGGTGAGGGGAGTGGAGTCAATTTACTCAGAGGTTGAGTTGGGTGTGGATTTCGTCATTGCATTACAGAGTCACCTTCTGTGTACCACAGACTTCAAATTCCTTCAGCAGTGGGATGCTGTTACCACATGCTTCCTGTGGGCCTTGGAAGGCTGAGAAGTTGTGCTCATTGTTCCCTTTCTGCCCTTAGCTCTCAGCAATCCTTTGCCACAGAGCAGTCTCCCTCCTGCCCCTCCCCAGCAGCAGACTGCTGATCTCGGGATTAAGGCTTTTGATTTGAATGAGAGATGGTCCTGGAAGACGATGGGCTTTCATGCCTGTGTGCAACTAAGGGGGCCCTCTCCATTTCCCTACCTTTCCCATTACCTTCCCCATAAGTCCTGGGTGGCAGTCATTGGATAGGATCTGTGAATGGCTGTAAACTCCTCTTGTGTCTGGAGCTCCCAGTTATTTTCGTGTCATGTTAATCTGCACTTAGCCTTAGAATTTAAAAATTTTAGCTATTTCTTCTTGCTCACTTTCACGGTGACTGCTTTTTCTTCTGCTACTCTGCCAAATAGGTGTCCCATCTTTTTTTTTTTTTTTTGAGGAACTTGTCTCTTTCTTTAAAAAAATATTGGTTCACCTGGTTACCTTGCAATCTCCACTCTCTGATGGGTTCAAGAAAAGCTTTGATTTCACAGATTATCCAGGTTTCTCATGTTGTTAGGGTGGAAGCTACATTTTCTTACATTCTCTACATCCTAAGTGGGAGTAGCACCTCTTGTAGTGGATAACGAGACGCTATTCACTGTTATTTTTGCTCTTTAGTGCTTCCATCAAAGAGTGGGCTGAGCTCTTATTCTCCCTCCTGGATTTTATGTCAGCGGCTCTTGAGAAATAAAATATACTTCTCCTCTGTGGATTGTATTTGTCTCATCAGGTGTCCATAACTAAGAGACTTAAGGGAAAATCTCTTTTTGGAAGTTTAGTGTGATAATTTACTGACTTTATGAGCTGGGGATCAAACAGATATGGCTTGGTAAATTTGCTTTTTAAAATAATTTTTTTAAATTATAAGAGTACTTCATTAGCAAAGTAAAGAGTTTAAAAATGGAGAAACATAAAAAAAGAAATAAAAACCACCCATAATTTCATCAGCTAAAGAAATCACTACTAATATTTTATCAAATTTCTTCTAGTCCTTTTTCTAAGAGTATGTTTATGTTAGTTTATGTACCTAAGTATATATCCTCAAGTATGTAATTTGTGTGTTTTGTTGAAATACACTAGTTCCAAAAAGTGTGTTTTTCTGTGGGTTGAATACTACGGCAGTCATGAAATGATGATATGTTATTTATATACATCTGGCGAAGATATCAAAATTTATGGCATATTTTTAGTGTGCTGTTAGGGCTGGACTCCTCTCACAGTTATTTCACAGGAGCAGCCAGGACAGGTGTGTATATGTGATTCCAATGGAATGTAATTCATTTCAGAAAAGACCAGTTGCTGATTCCTTGTGCCGAGGTACCCCTTTCCTCATGTAACTTCCATCCCTTTTTATTTATGCTGACCCATTGTCAGGTTGAGAACCAACAGAAACGAAGAAAACAATATAATGTTCTTAATATGTGTTATACTTTCTTTTCCAGAAAGTATTTTGGAGAAAAAATCGGACTGTATTTTGCCTGGCTGGGATTATATACATCATTCCTCATCCCATCTTCTGTGATTGGGGTGATTGTATTTCTTTATGGATGTGCAACAATCGAAGAAGATATTCCCAGGTAAGACAGTTTTAAAGAAAAAGGCTCAATTTCCATGTTTGGAGTTTCAGTCCAGTTGCAAGTACATTTCACACGCCTCCTTCCAAAGTCCTCACTCTCTGTTCTTCTTCCCTCACCACACATGTAACTTTACTCCAGAGACAGACCTGAGAGGTCCAGATCTTGGGAATGGCTTCAGAGCCATGCTGGGCATGGCCCACTTTCTTTGTTCGTCAATGTGGGCAGGCGAGTACTACCTGAAAAAGAAAAACAACTCATGCCTGAGAAATGCTTTCTTCCCTTAACTTCGTGACTTTTTTCTATGGCTTCTCATAAGGTCCAAGGCATTGGGTAGAGATCATGTTCTATATGGTCAAATATTGTTGGGATGAAATGAGGTGAGGCTGTCTGCAGAAGCAGGCAGCGCTGGAACTGAGGAAGGCTTGGCCTCTGGTTCAGGAGTCAAACTGTAAGCGGTGACAGGCCCTATGGTGGGGCTCTCAGATAGCCAAGAGATGGTGTAAAGCTTGGTTCTTTTGGGGAAGAGAGAGCTTCTTGGGGGAGAGAAGGCTCTCTCTTTCTCAAAAGAAAATAAGCACTTAAAAATAGCAACCTTTAGCATTGGCAGCATTACATACTAGCTTTGTGACCAGACAGTTCACTCCCTGTCTTAATTTCCTTGGCTGTAAAATGGTAATAATAACACCTACTGCATGGTGTTGTGAGGTTTAAAGGAGATAGTGTCTGGCACATAGCAGAATATTAATCAATGGTTTTTGAATGAATTAATATATGTGGAAATAGAGTAAAAGGGACAAAGAGACACTTAACCAGTACATATGTAGAATTTCAATCTCTTGCCATCTTTAAGAAGAAGCATGGTTAGTGTATTTTAATACTCTTTTAGTTGCAAGTGTAAAAATGCAACCTGAACTAGCTTAAGCAAAAAAAGAAATTTATTATAAATATTCTGGGGTATCTTAGGGAAACTAATGGCAGGCATGTGGCTAGCCTAAGGAGCAATGGAAATAGGGACTCCTTTGGCTCATCTCCTGTCTCTGATTCCTTCTAGTATTTATTTGTTTCACTGTAAGTTTTCTCCATGGGATGTAAACAATGCTGTTCGTAGCTCATGGATGTTATATCTTAGAGCTTTATACTCAGTTGGTCCCACAGGGAAAACTCCTATGGTTCATTTTGGCTTAGGTGGAGGCCCTGGGCCAACCATTCGTGACTGTGGGGCAGGATCACAACGCACCAATAGAAGGTTCCCTCAGTATCCACGTGGATGAGGACACTGGGCAGACTATGGGTGTCCACCATAATTGGGGATAGTATTGGGGGAAGTAATGGCCATCCTGAAGAAAGGGTCAAGAGCTGTGCTCTTTTGAGGAAAAGGTATTCACCAGTGACAAGGGACCAGGTGGCTCTTTGTGCCACTATGTCAACCTATAGAAATGGTCTTGCAAATTACAAAAACTGGAGGTGGCATTGTCAATAGTTAGAATAAAGATAAATAACTTGGTATAATACTTACCCCTTATCTTCAAGGCATATATTCCAAGACCCCTAGTGGATGCCTGAAACTGTGGATAGTGCCAAACCCTATATTTACTATATTTTTTTCCTACACATACATATCTATGATAAAGTTTAATATGTAGATTAGGCACAGTAAGAGATTAACAATAGTAACTAATATAAAGTAGAACAATTATAACAATATGCTGCCTTAAAAGTTATATGAATGTAGCCTCTTTCTCTCAAAATATTGTACTATGCTCATCGTTCTTCTTGAGATGATGTGAAATGATACAATGCCTATGTGATGAGATGGACTGAGGTGAATGACATAGGCATTGTGACGTAGCATTAGGCTACTATAACGGTTACTTTAACACAGCACTGTGATACTGTGGCAGTCGATCTGATAACCAAGATGGCTACTAAGGTGGGTAGCATATACAGTGTGGATGTGCTGGACAAAGGGATGATTCACATCCCAAATGCGACAGAGTGGGACAGCACAAGAGTTCATCATGCTACCCAGAATACCAGAATACCATGCAATTTAAAACTTAGGAATTGTTTATTTCTGAAATTTTCCATTAAATATTTTTGGACTGGGTTGACCGAAGGTAACTGAAGCTATAGAAAGCAAAACCATGGATAATAGGGGATTACTGTATAAGAGATAAGGGCTTGGATATTTTTGTGTATAAAACTCCAGTATCACCTGTCCAGTGTTCTTGACTAGGAGTTCTGGAACCTGTTGTCAGGGAGGAGACATATTGTTGGGGTTCTGCTTCCCTCAGGCCATCTATACTAAGGAAAGAACTAATACTTACCAGATACCTATCTTGTGCCAGGCATGGTGCTAGGTGGTTTCATGTACTAGTTTCTTGGATCCAGTAGAGATCAACATTGTAAACTCTATAACATAGGTATTTTTTTCACCTAACAGAGATGGAGAAATTTGTGCTAAGTGAGGTCACATGACTTGTCCAACTTCGACAACTAATAATTGCCAAGGTTGGGATTTGACCTCTGTTGCCTCCTGCCCCAGTCTTTGCTTTTTCCAATAAGCTGTGTAATCTTCTAGGGGCTCATAGCCTCCTCAGTGGCACAGTCGTTTCAACTGGCCTTGTGTGGTGCATTCTCAGAAAATACAGCTCTTACATTTCCCTTGCCCAATTGCGATCCCTAGAGAGCTGGACTTCAGGTTGATCAGAACTGGAAAACTCCATACCACCCATAGAGAACCAATGTCAGTGCAGTGGGTGGGGGATTTTTATTCTGGTTTACATCAGGATTTAGAACTTGTGCCCTTGGTCTTCATACAGGAATGCATGTGACATTGACCCCTGCAGCTGGAAATAACCATGGTCTATACATGCTGCAAAGATACATATCTATGGACATGCACACACACTCATATATGTGCAGGTATATATGCATGTAAAACATGATCATCTTCATTGCAGATGTATCTTATTGCCTGTCAGAGTGTGTGATGTTTTCCAAACTATGGGTATTAACCCATTAGTGGATTATGGAATCAATTTATTGGTTATCTATTAAATGAACTCGAACAAGGTAGGGTAGAGTTAAATGAAATGTAATGTTAATTTTCATCACAAGAAGGAAGTATGAGTATTGTTGCCTGAGGTTTTATTTAGTTATAGAAGAGTGTTTATAAGGAAAGGGTATGTACCAGTATGTATTTGTATACTGGAATCTGATGTAAAAGACTTTCAAGCTATAGGTCACTGTCAAAAAAGTTTGAAATTTGCTGTTATAAAATTGAAATTTTGGTTGTCAGTTTTTCAGACTCAGGGTAGGATATGGAAAATCAAGAGGTATAAATGATGAAGAACATTAAGCGTATTATCAAGATTTTTTTAAAAGAACTGCTGTTGAATCATAATTGCATATCCATTTAAAGTCCAAGCTCTGTAGGCCTGATGAAAACTTACAAAATATCACTCCTCATCAACAAAGGAACGGTGTCCAAATCCCAATACTAAATCTAAGCAGATTCACACTCCACTCTTTCAGGATCTGTATCTAATAGCCATTCCCAAGCATGATGAAAAACTTGCACTATTTCTGGTATTATTTTAGGTTTCTAATTTTGGCATTAAGCTTGGAAGTTACTATCTATGTATCACTTTTTAAATTCTTTTTATTTTGAACACATTAGAGATTCACAGGGAGGTGCCAAGATAATACTGAGGGTCATGATATATCCTTCACCAAGTTTCACTCAATAGTTATGTCTTATATAGCTGCAGTAGAATATCAAAACCAGAAAATTTATATTATGTGGAACTTTAAATGGGACCTTTTATTGCCAATAACTTTGATATGTGAGATACAAGTATCACTTATAAGTAACAATTCCATATGTGCGTTGTACATCTATAGAACTTTCCTCTGCTTACCAAAGGATTGGTTCCATTTGTTAGGCATTTGCTTACATAGGTAGGAAAGACTGAAGCATTAAAAAAACGCTGATTAATCTAAACCATATTGAAAAAGAAAATTGGTTACTTTAGGTCTGAGACCTTCATAGCAGATGTTCTGTCTGAATTTCCTGATAATTGCCTCGTGGTACCTTCTCCCTTTGTGCTAGCACCTAACTTGTGAGCAGTGCGTCACTCATTAAGAACACCACTCACTTAGGGGTTTTATCAACTTTTTTAGGCTTTCTAGAGGAAATGACAGATGGAAGAAATATACTGTTAAGAGCTACAAGCCACAGTTACTTCTAACTAGAAATCTTTGGATTATGCAGCTAGTGAATAACCTAGACATGGTTTCAATTCTAAATGAGCTTCCCTCATCTTTCAGCTCATCTAGAGGTGGCCTCTCTCAGAGAACGTAAGTCATTTTAATGTCATCCCAAGGCAGAATTTCTCCAGAATTCTGTTCAAATTGTTGCATCAACCCCCCCCCAAAACAAAACAAAACAAAACAAAACAAGAACAAAAAAAACCCCCAATTCAATACATATAAAACATTCTGACTTCAAATCTAATTGATATGGGGTGGGGAGTATTCATGCTACAGTGGCTGCCGTTTTGTAAAAATGATTGATAGTTGACTGTACTGTAATTTTAAAATCAATAATTTACCCAGCTGTTAAGTTTCAAAGTGCTTTGCACCAAGTTGATTGCTAGTACTTTATTAATTCCTGACCTTTTAGCACTGACTATATTGGATTAGGATTCGGCTGACTAGGATTACCCCTCCTCCAAGTCTATGTGTAAAAAAAAAATAATAATAACCTGAACAACAAAGTCCCTAACACCGGTGCTTAAAGGACAGCACTGAGAGCTTATATGTTCTCAGACATGGCTTGAAAGCACAGCTCTTTAGTAGAATTTATAGAGACCAACAACTTTCTGTGTGAATTTGTTTTCCAAGAGGGTACTTCCCTCTCTGAAAGTAGCAACTCGTCAACTATGCAGCAAACACTTCTCTGACCAAGAAGACTTAAAATAAACCTTGCTCTCCAGTTACCAATAAGAATGTGCCCAGGTGAAACCAGCACTGCTGAACTTATTGGTAAGATATTGCTATTTAATACTGTCGATGTGAATGAGTCACTGCTGTTGACACTTGCCAATGGAGAGCTTAGCAGCAAGTCAGTGGAGGAACTGGGATTTAGCCTCAGAGACCTTGAGTTTCCATTCCTCCACACAGAAGGCCTTTCTCTGCCATGGACTTAATAGCTTATTAAAAACAAGCCTGAAAGCTGGGACTTGACAGACAGTGACAGCTTCAGTAAAACCCTTCAACCTCTTAAGGAAGGGAAACTAGATCTAGGCATCCCTTTGACTTCCAGGGTAAAGCTAAGCACTTGCTTTTGCACACAGGGTACCAGCTTGCTCACCTTGGCAGTGGCTGTTCTCTTGCTAGCCATGCTCTGTAGCACCCTCTGCTGCCTCTTTCCAGAGAAAACAGCTATGGTTTCAGCGTTGGATCTCCTGCCTCCCCATCACTGTGTCTCTAGCTGCTCTGTGAGAACAGCCAATGCTTCATTTTCATGAAATATTGAGTTCTCCACTTTTACCCCTCAGCTGTGAGCTTATCCATTTACTTATTCCCCACGGGGAATATTACACCCCAGAATGATGAGTTCGTCCGTTTTCCTACCAATATATGGTGTGGAGGGATATTGGGAAATTAGTTATGGCTGGTAGTTCTTTGATTCTTATTTGCAAGCACTTATATAAGCTTAAATTTATTGGATACAGCTCATCACCTAATGAATGAATGGAATTTCAAATGTACCCATCAGCCTGTTAAATAGAAATGTAGTGAGAATAGTTTAAAATATAGGTGAAGGTTCTTTGACTCATGCTTCTTTCTCTAAGAATCATAGAATCTAGACTTTGGAAGAATTTACCTTATTCTTTCATTCTCCTTAACCCCATTTCATGGTTATGGTAATTTTTATTAGGCTGAGGCTATTCATCCCCATTCAACAAATGGTCTTGCAGCTGCTGCACTTGGAAAAGTCTTTCAATTCAGATCTGACTCCTTCTTCACACGGCTTTTCCTTCTAGAAGTAAGAGCTTGTGTTGACCCAGTCACATACTCATGTTTGTTTCTCCTTGTGACCAGTCTCACATATTTGTGAGACAGAGAGTAGGTTTAAGAAGACAGCCTATACTTGAATGATGATGATGAGATCTAACTGTAGGCGATGGTTTATTCATAATTGTTGATGTTCTTCACTAACCTCATGTACTCCACACATTTTGAAGGGTCTTTCTAAGGCATCATTCAGTGTACAACATCTCTGACAGATGGTCACTAATTTTGTGTTGGGGTACTTCTAGTGACAGGGGGCTCCATACCTCAGAAAGTGGCCCATCTGTTTTTTTGGACAAAATACAAGAATAATACTCTCAAAGTGAGGAATCCAATCCCACCTTTTAAAAACACATCTCATGTATGAAGTTGATAAGCTCCGCCATGAATTCAGAAGTGGGAGATGTTTTGGGGGTGATTTGTTTGGGGCGGGTCCTACTTGAGCTCCACCTGACCCAGTAGCCTTTGTCCACTGCAGCAAAGAGATGTGTGACCAGCAGAATGCCTTCACCATGTGTCCCCTGTGTGACAAGTCCTGTGATTACTGGAACCTCAGCTCGGCCTGTGGGACAGCACGGGCCAGCCACCTGTTTGACAACCCTGCCACTGTCTTCTTCTCCATCTTCATGGCTGTGTGGGGTAAGTGGTTATCAACAGGCTTGCTTATATGGGTGGTATTTTAAATGGACACAGTGACCATGCTCTAATGGTCAGATCCTTCCATGTACTTCCTTTAGCATTTAGTCCTTGTATTTCAAGAAGGATTTTAGGATCAATAGATTTCTCTCCTTCACTCGTATATGTGAATAGAACTAGGGATATTCTGTGGCTTTACATATTTTTTAAAAAGGTGTAGTAATGTTAACCTTGTCTTAGTCTCATATGATATTTATTCAGAATTTGAACCAATGCATGTTTTGAAAACCCTTAGCGCACCCATAAGGCACCTCCAGGAACATCTACTAAGACATGCAAAGTCATAGATATCATCCAAAATAACACTCAGAGTGGTAGGATCACAGCCATCATCACGGAGTTACCTGGTAGTAGAGGTGGACCTAGTCTCCTGACTCCAGGTTCAGTGCAATTTCTAGGATACCGTAAGTGTAGACTGTAGAGATTTTACATAATGCCAGAGTAGTGTTTTCAATATTCCCACCAAAGGGATTTGTAGAGGAAAGAAGAAATAGTCCCTTCATTGTCCTTCTCCTCCCCTCCGCCCCGCAGAGTATCAGGGTAGTAAACTTTCTCTGGGCCATAGCCATCTGACCACACACACACACACAAACACACACACACGCACGCACACGCACACACACACACACACGTGCGCACACACACGTGCACACACATGTACATACACGTACTTCTATTCTCACAAACTGGAATAACAATCTTGTGGTAACTGAACATTTCCAAGAAGGCACACCCACATGTATTAAAAAGGGGACCAAGTCAACATGTTCCAGCCCATCTTGAGTAGCCACCTGCTTTTTACTCATCCTGGATGTGCAGGCCCTCAGCTTTCCCACTGGATCGTGGGCCAGCAGGGCATTGGTCCTGCCACAGAGGCTGCTTGATTTATCACGGACTCCACAGGGCCTGGAGGACCTGCCAGGATGGGGCTGTGAGTCATCCATCCCTGAAAGCGTGAGGAGGAGACAGGGAGAGTCTGTTCTCAGCAGTGCCGGGAGAACTGAGTACAGCCTTCCTCCATTCCCTGTTGGGACCTCTACTTGGGTGGAACTGGAACCAGACTGGAAAGATTCCCATATCAGTAGGCCACCAAGGAAAATTTCCAGGGCACTCTCTACTCTCAGGGAGAACAGCTGCTGCCCAGCAGCACTTGGGCAGTGGTCAGCCCATGAAAATGGGGACAGGGAGTAAGAGGAAGGGGCACTTGTGACCATATAGCTCTGGAAATGTGCACAGCAAGGGTCAGCAGAACAAACTGAAGTTGAGGCTTGTTATCTGGGAAGTAATAGGCAGCTCTGTCCTCTAGTCAAGCATGGGCATCTTGTAATTACTCCAAAATCCACTTGAACGAACTTGGAACTCGGAATATGCATTCCATTTTTTTTTTATATATTGCAACCCTAAACCTCATGCATTTGTCTTGCAGATATTACCATGATTGAGTAGCTGAAGCTTAAAAACACGGGGCTCATGATCTCTTAAGCACTTTCCTGGGATGCATAACTCCTCGTTGTACAGAAACTTGGTTTTCAGTTGTCCTTTCCTGCTTTCAAGCCCCAACAACTGCCTCTTCTTTCTCAAGAGCTGTAATGAGTAGATCCCTCCCACCCCTCCTGAAGTCCTCGATAACGGACTCCCCCACCCCTGGTTCCCTTCTCTTCCTCTCATATAGCAGTGCAGGGAAAGCCAAAAGGGTGAGACTGTGTCAGAGCTTCCTGGCATAAGGTAGAGTTGGGTTTTGTTTTTTTTTTAACAGCCTTGTTGTGTTTTATGTGATTGTATATTTGGTTACAGCAGCCAGGAGCCTCTGGGCATGATTGCCTACAAATTACAATAAAAAATAATAGTAATGCCTCTCATTATCATGATTATTATGATCAGTGGTGCTGTGCTGGGTGGGCCTGGGCCAGGGACCAGGCCCGCCAGGAATAAGGCTGGGAAGAAAAACTGGTTCTCCACAGAGAGAGACTTAGGCTGTTGTGGAGTGGGAGTGGGGATTGCCAAGACAGGGGGTGCACAGAGGGCATCAGTCAGGAGGGCTTGGGTCTGTCGGAGTCCCCAGGCCCAGCTTGGTCCTCTGTAGTTCTGGCCTCAAATCCCAGGGAGCTCTGGAGAGAGTGAAGCCGTACTAAAAAAGGGAAGTAAAGGGAGAGGGTCTCTAAATTTCTTTTTGAGTAGAGATTAAGGACACTGACTTAGGGGACTGCCTGATGAGTGTCTCAATCCTGCCCCCTTCCAGCTGTGGCTCCCATAGCAAGTCAGTGTGACTGTAGCTCTCGGTCACTAAAGTCAATGCTGTTAACCAAGGTGCCATGCAACATGGGGCACGGTACTTAACCTTTGAACACCATTGTTCTCATCTGTAAAATGGGTTAACTAATACCTATCCCCTAGTGTTGTGTGACAAATAAATGAGACTAAGTGTGCAGAGCACTTAGTCCAGTGCCTGGCACATAATATGCACCAGGAGCTGTGAGCAGCTCTTCGTCATTATGACAGCCCTCCCTTGTCCTCACAACCTCTTTTTCAGTGACTCTTTTGCCCCTCTCATCTGTCCCCACAGTCTGACGTCTGTTTTTCATGGACACTACAGCCAGAAGCACTCTGAGCCCTGCTGTGTGCAGAGCCCTTCTTAGTCACTGAGAAGGGCATAGGAAGAGGAGGGATGTCCACTTTGGTCTCAGAGCATCCCCAGGCCAGTGCCAGTGTCCGGAGGTTAGGGTACTCATGAAAAAACCTCAAATCCAAGGAGAAAGCATACAGATTATTGCACTGTCATGTTGCACCAAGTAAAACAAATGAAGCATTAAGTAACTGCACATTTAACCAGTTCGTGGGTTTTTGTTATGCCCAGTTCTGCGCTGTGCCCAAGGTAAACAGAGGCAGCTAGGAGCTGAGGAAGAGTTTACAGATCTGTTGCTACATTACAGACCTGAATGGCAACCAACAGTACAGCGTGGCATGCCGCAAAGGTCACCAGTCTCTTATTGCATGTGGTGTAGAGATGTAAGCGTGGCCTCAGGGAATGTCAGCTCCCTTCCCTTTCTGGGGTAGCAGACCATAAGGGCAGTAGGAGCATGGAGGAGAGGGCACCTTTCAGCCTGCTCTGATGGAAGAAGTGGGACTTGAGCTGGTCAGGAAATGATGAGGGTAGACATTGGCAGGTAGAAGAGGGGGACAAATGGCACAAGTTGGGAATGAAGAGGACAGCGAAGAGATGATGTCAACAGCAATGCAGGTGTGAGGTGTGTGTTGACAAATGGTTGGAAGAGATTTAGACAGATGGATCTGGCCAGATACACAGGGTCGCAATATCCAGAGAGAACCTAGGCTATAAGAAGCCATTGGAAGTTTCAGCAGGGGAGGTGTTGGCATCCTTCCTTTCCCCACCCCTTCTTCACTGACTGAATGACATTGTTCTTCAAGACTCAGCTCCAATGCAGCAAGCACTTCCTCTCCTGCATGCTCACAACCTTTTATCTGTATCCTTCTTAAAACCCTGATCACTTTGTACCCTGTATTCTAGTTAAGTGTTTTGTACATTGCAGATACCTTAGTCGGGCCTGGCCTTTTTTCTTTTTTTCAGGATTAAAAATTTATTCAAGTTTGCTTAAATAACAAGAGATTTCTTGTAAGAAGGCAAAAAGCAAGCTCATGAATGCAGGAAATGAAAAATAGCCAGGCTGTTAGGGAACTGGAGCTGGAGGAGCTATCAGAAACCACAGCCCTCTTGCCTTTCAGGGGCTGCTTGGTTTTTGCCATCTCTGCTTCTCTTTGTGTCTCTTGGTTTTAATTTTCAAAAGAGAGAATCTGGCCGATTGGCAGACTCTGGATCAGGCATTTAATCCTGGTATAACAAGCCATGACTATAGAATAGAGGGTGTTGGTTCTTTCTGGAGCACGTTGGGCTGACCCTTCAAGGGTGATAGTTGGAGCAGGCAAACTGACCAATGTGTAGCTATGGTAGGTCTTAAAAAATATTTTCTAAGAAATTGATGAATGAATGAATACCACTTCAGGGAGATTAGTATATCAGCTGCATGCAAGATAGGTGAGAAGGCTAAGACTCTGGAGTCAGGTAGAACTATTAGGAGACTGTTATATAACCTCGGAATGAGATGATTAGGGCCCACAGAAGGGAACCGGTGCTGGGGACAGAAAAAAAGATGGGAAAAAAAGCAAGAATGCTGAGGCAAGTGCAGGATGCATAGGTAAGATGAGGTTTGTCAAAAAAATACTACAACCCCTACAATTCTTATTTATTCTTCCAACCTTTCTCATTTCTTGAGACCAATGTATACCCTCTTCTCATTAACATATAAGTGGGAATGTACCGCTTTAAACATATCTATTGTACTTTCAAAGATGTGGAATGTTTCAAGCATTTCCAGCTAGAAGTTGGAGGATGCAAATAAATACTTTAAAGAGAGCCCCTGAATTTGAAATCTATAAGTTTATTCTCTACCACTATTGGCAAATCCAAAGAATACTCAAAATCCACTCTGAAATTAATAGATTTTTTTTTTTAAAGCTACCATGTTTCTTGAAAACTGGAAGAGATTGCAGATGCGACTGGGATACTTCTGGGACCTGACTGGTGTAGAAGAGGAAGAAGTGAGTTCTCTCGCACGCTTCTCTGGATCTTTGCTTTGCTTTGACTCTGGAAATAGACCATTTGGAGTGAGAATACCACTTGTGTGTACTGTCACATCCGCCAGTCACTGGCTGGGTCTTACTGTCGCAGCTTTTCTAGCTTGGCTCCATGGGCTAAGGCATGGTTGATAATGCACTGAGACCAAGAATTCAAGTTCCTGCTCTACTCTTGAGCTCTAAGACATTGGGTCTGGTGGGTAGCCACATGTCCCAGGGCTCCTCTCTGGGAAAAAGAGATGGCACAAGAGGCAAGCCTTGTATAATAGTAGCCTTGAGATTTAATTCAACATATTTCTACCTCCCATGTCTTTGGTTCTAGTGAGCATAAAGCCAGAGAATAGGAATTGCTCCTGGGTGACCCAGAGCATACTGAGGGCCAAGGGAGAAGCATGGGTGCCAGATGCTGGTAAGCCTTTAATGCCTACGGAAGAAGAAAGAATCACTAGACCATTTTGGCGCCAGCCAGCACACCATCTATGAAACTGGAGCATGAGCTCAGGGTAAAGGGTAGGTTCTTCTAGAGTCTAGTTTTATGTACAGATGATGTTAAAGGATGGAAACAGGTTAGCCTTCCTTCCAGGCTCTTTGAGTAGGAGGGCCCCAGTCATGATGTCAGCGAGCTGATGAGGAGCAGTGTACACATGGTTGTCCATGTTATCTATTCCTACATGTTACCATTGACTGAAGAGCAAACGTCAATATCGGATGGGTGCTCCTAAATTGTGGACATTGTGGATGAGATGCTGGGGACAGCATCTAGGAGGACCAGGAAGCACTTCCAGGTGGCTGAATGCCCATTTGCAAAGGTTGGCCACAAGCATTATGGTGGCTGCATGGAAAGCAGGCCTTTTCCACACTCTTTACAGTAATTGATGTGCCCTCCCTTGGACATGGGACCTCTGTCTTTGTGGCTTTGATGTTTTATGGCCAACCAAGTGAAATCCCCAATTTAGTCTTGTTCTTGAGCCTGTGTGACTCTGCATGATTTCTTCTCCTTAATGCTCTAATTAGCTAGGCTTTGAGCAGATGGGCATTCCATTACCATGTATTGAATACATGTGCTCATTCTATCCAGTCCTATGCGTTAAGCATATGCCCCTAAACTAACAGCATCATGGATTCCATGACAAATGAGAAAATGTACATATGGGTTCTGCTTTCAGAGAGGATAGAGTACTCAAATGAAGCCACACTTTCTAAGAGGTCCCGGGGGCACCTAGGTAGGGCCTGCCTGACAGAAGCTAATAGGACAAGAGAAGTCCACTGAGGTGAAGCCCACTTCTGAGAGAAAACTCTTGAGGTCTGGCAGGTCTCCCTTCAACAAATGCAAACAAGACCCAAAAGAGTCTTGCAACAAGTCCCTCGGCGGTGTCCAGCTGGTTCCACAGGGAGGTCTTTTATGCAGGGTCTGCATGACCCAGGGCAGTGGCTCTTGGGTTTGGTTGTTCCTTGGAGATTGGGTGATGATGTGATGATGGTGGGTCTTAAAAACACTCGAATAGCATCACCTCCTGTTGTGTTGGTTCTGTTTATTAGCCACACGCCTAGTTTCTCCTTTCCAACATCGTGGCACATCTTGGGTAAGCCAAAGACAGGCTAGGAGTCTAACTTGTTGGCTTCTGGAATCTCTGCTGGGTGAAAAGTGGTAAGGAAATATGTGTCCTCTGAGTCCACTGTGAGCCAGCACCTGAATCCCTGCCTAGGCGTTATTGGTAAATGATGCAGGAACATGATGCCCTCACACTTGTCCTTGGACGCTGTGGGAAGACCTGCCAGTGAGGCCAGGTGTACACTGTTAAATTCTTGAAGTAATTCATGTGTCTTCCTGCTCCAGCATCTGCCTTGATTTGACCATGGTCTTCTTGATTTAGATACTAGGTGTGCTTTCCTGGTGACTCACTATTCACATTTGTATTGCCGAATGGCTCAGTGATGCCCCTTGAGTACTGGTGTACTTGCCAATGAGTTACTCACTTAGGTTGTACAGGAAACAGGTCCAGGCAGGTGAGTTTTAAGATTCCCTCTGGCCACCTTTAACTTTGATTTTTGTTAGTTGCCATTTTAGCTTGTAGAATAATGGAGCAGGGAGGAAGTTGTGTTGTCATTGCCCTAACTCCCAGCTGTGGGGCACATCTGTTTCTCCAGCTGGGATCTGGCTTATTGGAACTTAAAGTTTGAGGTGTGAGGATAGTTGGTGAGATGAACTGATGCATCCCTCTACCTCTGGTCAAACTGCTATGCAAAACATGTGGCTTCTTTTGTATCAGCTGTCCATTTAACATTTCCTCTCTCCTTTCTCAACACCGGCACCATCCCCAGGAACGTGCCCAGGTTTGGTTTTCAGTGTGGAAACAAGTGTTGTGTGTCCCCTCTCTCTCTCCCCACATTGTGCTCCTGGTCTAGACTCCTCGTGATTGTGTGTGGTGTGGCAGTTCATGTCCAATAGAATCTGATCCTAAGACCTGACTTTATAGTACTTGTATCTGGTTATAACCTACCGGCCAAGGTGGCTCTTTTGCCTGTTTACTAACTACTCTTTGACTCTTGGGTTTTAGGAACACTCCCGACCTGAGTATGAAACCAAAGTTCGAGAGAAAATGCTAAAGGAGAGCAACAAGTCGGTTGTCCAGAAATTGGAGACCAATATGACTGAAAGGGACGATGAGGTAAGATGCTGGTGCTTGTTGCTCACTGTCCTCTTTATTTCTTAAGATCCTATTGTCATTTTATTTGGAACCCTTCATGGACAGGGACTGCGTTGTGAGGAGGGCTTGACAGAAGTGGGACAGGATGGAATGAGAGTATGACATTTCTCATCATCCTGCAGTCAGAGCATGGGTAGCAGGCCTTTTGCCATGGCTTGATTTGTCTCTCTTTCCTGGGTGATAGTGCCTGGACAATATGGGAGAGGAGGTTGAAGAAGAGAGAAACAGTGGTCAGGCCTGGTTTCTCTGGACTCCATCACTTAAATATCTCATAATAATAACCACCATACCAACCAGCACAATGACAGCTAGCCCTTATCGAATGCTTGCTTTAGGCTAGGCAGTGTTCTAAGTGCATTATATTATTTTATTCTTACAATAAATTTGGGCTGATGCTATTGTTATGTAAATGAAAACTCATGAAAAAAATTATGTCCACAGATTAAGTCATTTGCCAGAGGTCACTCAGCCAATGGGTGGATCTGGGATTCCAACTCAGGCCTGTCTCTGACAGTCTGTGCATCTACTCACTATGCGTACTACCTTTCAAATGCAATGGAAGTCAAAGGGTAAAGCAAGAAATGGCTCTTAGGGCCAGCAGAGACAAATTCATGCCTATATTTGCTTGATCTACTCATAAATGTTCCTCACATTTCATCTTATCTGGGTTGGCCTCCAAAACTAGGAATGTGATGGTGAACAAGTCTTCTGAGTCATATTTCTGAGTTTTCTGGTGGCATTCAGATGCTGAAACAGAGCTTCAGAATCTGTTCTGTGATCTGTGAGTACTCAGAGTATGTGTGAGGTGGGGGTACGGTGCGGGGGCTCCTCTTTGGCAGTGCCTGTCTTCCCTGAGTGCCACACTTCCTTGAAACCAAGTGTGTGTGTGTGTGTGTGTGTGTTTATGTCTTTCCTAATCTGGTTCCTGAAAAAAATCAACAAGATTGAAAATCTGTTGTTTTTGCATGTATCTTTTCTCCATTTTGGATTTAAATTCAAATTTTATTTAATTTTACATTCTTTAAGTTAAAACCATTCATGTTAACATGCAAATGTATTCAAGTATCAAAAGAGAAGAATGTGTTGCTTTTGAGCCCAGAACACTGGTGTGGTTTTTTTTTTTTTTTTTACAGAAAACAGAACTTAAGCAGAAGGGAAAGAGGGTGGCCCTCTGAGTTATTTATTTCCTAGACAAAAAGTTAAGTCCAAGACCACCAATTCAGGGAAATAATGAATTCATTCTTAGGAAAGACTAATCATCACTACCACCCTCATCAGAAAACAAACACTCTGTGTCCTGTCAGTTTTGGCAACTCCATGCAGCCCCTTTTCCCCACCCCTGAGCAATACACAATGGATAATTTTATGGAAATCACATGTAACTTTTATTGACCACTGGCTCATTTAATTTTAATTCCATAGACAGGAATGCCAAGGAGCTGGAATTGCATACATGGAGGATGTGGTTCTAGCATAAACATTGCTTGGATATATATGCATGATAGGTCAAGTAACTCTCAGGAACCATGAATAATTGAAAAACATCTGAATGCATTATGAATGATACATATGTTTATGTTTTAGCATTCAACATCTATTTTCATTACACTGTTGAGAATGCAAAGCTCAAAGCATCTAATGCCTTATGGGCACCAGGGGGAAAATGACCTTCCCAAATGAGCAATGTAAGATAAAAATGGCCTGCAGTTTGATTGTTAGCATCCTTCTGTGTTCCCTCAGTTCTGTTAATACTGGAAATGCTTCTGTTCTAGCTGTAAATCTAGCCAAAGGTGGGAGATGAAGGGAGGAGCACATTTGCAGCCTGAAGGGAGGGATACTGCTCTTGCCAAAAAAGAGCTGTGGTCAATACCAACTGCGTGAGAAGGCTCTGGGGCACCATCTCATGTGGCATATTGAGGAATAGACAGGGACAAAAAATCACAGCCTAGCTAGTGGTTTGGATGTGCTTCTACCATCTCCAAGGATCACCTTGGCTCTGCCTCCATTGTAAGTAACCCTGAGGCTGCATATCCCCACTTCTTACTTTCCTTCCTTTTGAATGATAAAAAGCTACCATTTATTGAGGCCCAGAGTGATATAGGAATTTGCTGACGATCACATAGCTAGTTGTGGGGTAGCTGACAATCAAACTCAGCACTACCTGATCCCTAAGAGCCATTGCTGTTTAAAAATTTTTTTGAAGATATAGAGTCCATTTTTTTAATTTTAATTTTTATTATTTTTTATTTATTATTTTTAAAATTAGTTTCAGGTGTACAAAACACAGTGCAATAGTTATACTTTTTACCCCTCAAGGTGACAACCTCCCTCCCCCAATCCGCCGCCCCACTCCCCCCACCCCATATCATACATATCTATTACAATTCCCTTGACTCCACTCCCACACTATACTTTACATCCTGTGACTATATNTATATATATATATATATATATATATATATATATACACACATATATATATATATATATATATATATATATATATTTAATTGTAGTCAACATACAATATTATACAACATCAGCTTCAGGTATACAGTGCAGTGATCAAGCCTCTACCCCATCCATGAAGTGGTTTCCCTAACAAGACATGTGACCATCTGATGCCCTACAAAATATTTACAAATTATTAATTATATTTTCTGAACTGTCTTTCATACCCATGTGGCCATATTGTAGTTACCTATTTATGCTAATCCCTTCCCCTTCGTCCTCATCCCCACCCCGCTCCCAACTGGCAACCATCAGTTTTTCCTCTATACCTCTGAGACTATTTCTGTTTACTTTGCTCATTCATTCAGTTTTTTAGATTCCACATATAAGTGAGATCATATGGTATTTGTCTTTCTCTGATTGTCTTATTTCACTTAACATAATAGTCTCTAGGTCCATCCATTTCGGTTCAAATGGTACAATTTCATTCTTCTTTATAGCTGATAAAGTCCATTTTAAAAAACACCTGTATTGAGGGCCAGCCGAGTGGCTCATTGGTTAAGAGTTGGCTTGGGAGTGCGAGCTCTGAGCAGTAGGTCTGCCAGTTCAGATCCCACATGGGCCAGTGACGCTGCGCCCTCTACAGCTAAGATGGTGAACAACAGCTTGACCTGGAGCTAGGCTGCCATGAGTTGCCGGTGATGGCGTAGGTGCAGTGGGGCTGCAGTGGGCTGCCAGAAGCTACCATGAGTGGCTGACAGCCAGCACGAGCAGCCCGTGTGAGCTGCCATGAGCCACCATGAGCGGCCGTCCAATGGCCGGTGACTGGTCTGCCTCAGTCAGGAAGAGCACAATGATCACAATACCTACATGGGCCAGTGAAGTGACGTTCTCCACAACTAGACTGCAGAACAAAAGGACAGGAACTTGTCTATTCCCCTTCCCTGATTCCCCAATGCTGTTCCCTCCCCCAATTCCCCAATAAAATCTTAAAAAAACAAACAAAACACAAAAACATCTGTATTGAGATTTAATTCTTAGATCATAAAATTCACCATTTAAAGTATACAATTTATGGGTTTTAATGTATTCACAGATTTTTGCAGTCACCCCACAACCCAAGTTTAAAATATTTTTATCACCCCCAAAAGGAACCCCAATAGAAATTCTACACCCAATAGTTACCAAGCCATGGGAAACAACTAATTTACTTTCTGTTTCTATAGATTTGCCTATTCTGGACTTTCATGTAAATGGAATTGTAAAAAATATGGTATTTAGTTTCTTTCACTTAGCAAAATGTTTTCATGACTCATCCATGTTGTAGCTATATCAGTACTTCATTCTTTTTTATTGCCAAATAATATTCCATATTTTGGATACACCTCATTTTATTTATACATTCGTCAGTTGATGGACATTCGAATGGCTTCCATTTTTGGCTGTTATAAATAATGCTGCTATGAATATTTGTGTAGAAGTTTTTGTGTGGATGTATGTTTCATTTCTCTTGGCTACATACAGAAGAATGGAAATACTGGCTCATATGGTACACTCTACGTTTAACATTTTGACAAAGTGCCATACTATTTTCTAAAGTGACTGCACCATTTTACATTCCAACTAGCAATACATGAGGGCTCCAATTTCATCTGTCCTAATTGTATGAAGTGTTATTTCATTGTGGTTTTAATTAGCATTTCCCTAATGACTAATAATGTTGACCATCTTTTCATGTGCTTATTGGCCACTTATGTGTTTTCTTTGGAAAAATATTTATTCAAATACTTTGCCTGTTTTTTAAATTGGGTAATTGTTTTTTTATTTTTGTGTTATAAGAGTTATTTACATAATCTGGACACCAGTCCCTTATCAGATTATATGATTTACAAATATTTTTTATCATTCTATGGGTTTTAAAAAATTTTTTATTGATGATACAATTTGAAACACAAAGTTTTTTATGTGGTTCAATTTATCTGTTTTGATTCTGTCAATTCTACTTTTGTGTCATATCTAAGAAACTATTTCCTAATCCAATGCCATAGAGATATATTCCTAGGTTTTCTTCTAAGAGTTTTATAGCGTTAGCTCTCACATTTAGTTCTATGATTCATTCTGAGTTAGTTTTTGTGTATGACATAAGGGGTCTATTTTTTTTACTGTGGATATTCAGTTATCACAGCACCATTTGTTGAAAAGACTATTTTCCCCATTGAATTATCGATACCCTCATCAAGAATCATTTTACTATAAATGTAAGGATTTATTTTTGGACACTGCATTCTGTTTCATTAATCTGTATGTTTCTCCTTATGCCAGTGCCATATTGTCTTTATTACTGCACATGTGTAATATGTTTGGAAATTGGGAATATGGCTATGACTTTGTGTTTCTTTTTCAAAATTAATTTGATAATTCTGGGTGCCTTGCATTTCCATGTGAATTTCATGACTAGCATGTCAATTTCTGCAAAAAAATTCAAGCTTGGAATTTTCATAGAAATTGAC